TTACATTATGCAAATGTGGTTGTTCTTATGGATTTGAGCTGGCAGGCAGTAAAAATATTATCACTAGAAAAAAAAATCTCTCGCACCTCCATTTGACTGAGAATTTTATGGGAAAAGAGTAGTTTTCTTGTAGTTTCAGAGTTCAATATTGTGTAGACACTTTGCATTCATTGTCAGTGCACGCACGTAGCTCGTAGGCGACATCCGTATGGCTACTGTTTTCCTCACTGATTACGAATGCACTAAACTTACTTCTTGTTTCAATGATAGAGTAAAAAAAATACACCAAGATGGTTTGTATACTGTGTCTTGCGATAAAACCTCGCCCACTATCATTGTTATATTTTATATTTCCTATAAATTGATGTAAATTTTTGAAATCAAGTTCCATTGTTGTCATATAAATGTTTGTATTATAGTATTTGTGTCATGCTTGTTGTGTTTAGAAATGAACTCTTTTCTATTTTTTTATTTAAACGTATAACCTTTCTTCAAGGGAAGTATAGGATCACTACTTAAATAAAATTTCTATTGGATATATTTTAGAATAACATCAGATCTTTAAGTGCAAGGCAGTACGATAAAAGCTTAGATTTATATTCTGTAATATGTGTACCTACTATATATAGTCACATTAGATAATAATATGAGAATAGTAAATTATACGTATTTAAATTGGTAGTTATTACAGAATACAAAAAACTGGTCAGGTACGCGCCGAACTCGTGCACCGAGGGTTCCGTACCTACCCAGATTTTACGTAGATTTTCGCGAAAATTTGTAAGTACCTAGTATAGTAGTAGTATCTTAATTTTCAACTTTTTTTATTTTTCGGAATTATTCCTTTGGTTGACCTAGAATTTTCAATTTTGGTTAAAAGTAAGGTCTTACAGCACAAGTAAAGAGAAAATGAAAAAAAAATGGAACATTAAGGTAAATTTTGGTTCTTACAATTTTGGTACTTACAAATCGAAATTTGCCCATATCTTTTTATCGTGTTGACTCAGGACCTTGATTTTTATATACCTAATAGGGATCATAGACCTCAGCATCAGGAATAAATTTCAACATGCTAGGTTTACCCGTTCCTGAGAAAATCGCTGGTGACACACGGACAGACGGACAAGAAAGTGATCTTATAAGGGTTTCTGTTTTACCTTTTGAGGTAATGAACCTTAAAAATAAATAAAGTAATGTTCTTATTCTTTCTAGTATGCAACTGCGTGTTCTGAATTACAAAACTCACATAAGTTTACAAAAAAACTTAAGTAGACTGTTCCAATTTTCTAGTTAATATAGTAATAATAATAACTAGACACATCTTGCACACATCCATCTAACGCAAAAACCTTGGCAGCGCCTATCGTAAACAGAATGCTGATACATATTAGAGATAAATTACACCCAGACACAGAACAAATGAACATGCTCCCCACACAAGTTTTGACCTGGATGAGACCGACTAGATCAACATAATTTTACATGTGATTAGAACTGAAATGACATTGATTGGTATATATTTTTAAGTGTCTTTAACACGAAGTTTTACACTATATTATACAGGTAAAGAGGCCAGTAACTACTGCGCTCAGAGCTAGTGCAATTTAGCCGCCTCTCCTCATACCTATTAAAAACGTCTGGCCTCCCAGTGCAGTAAATTGTATCAGCACCAGTGACGGTGTCGATATCGTTCAGAGTATCAGGCCCTAGCCAATTAGCAGGCACCCCTTAATTAAAGAGATCGTTAAGTCTGCACCATTACGCCCGTCATGTCACAGTTTATTTTGAATCTCGTTGCGATATGGCGACATTATCTTTCGATCATTTTATATCAACCAGAATGGCAGGCGCTTATGAGAAAAAAGATTCTGACATGTTTTATGTCTTACAGATAATGCTTCCAGAGGTACAGAGAGGTACAGATTACATCATCATTGCATTACCTAGAATTGTTGATGGTCATTAATAATAATTATGAATGAACTATTAATTATTCATTATTACTGTGTACTAAAAATAAAGTCAACGTGAAAAGTAAATGTTGCAAACAATTCATCGGTAGTTATGTATAAAAATAGTCCTAAAATAAAAGTATTAAAAATTATCCCAAATTTTTTGACTTTCAAATTATCTCTTATTTAAAAAGTCATAGTACATAATTGGAGCATGCGTAAGATATATTCTTGAAATATGAGCAACGGTGTTGCAATAACCAAGCAAAAGCAAACCTGAATTCTGCTTAATAGTGGTTTATGTTGTTATGTCGCAAGCTCACTTCAGGTTCATGGTTCAATTGTACTATTCTTTTCTAACTATTATAAATAATATATAAAACTCTTAGTTTTTGAAAATTATGTTTACTTTAACAATGTTCACTTTTGGGTGAGCAAGACCGAAGGAACCATTGGTGGTGTCAAACTAATTCTGACTTCGCCGCGTTCTGCAAGTAAGCCTACATCTACAGCCGCGTGTGAGTAACCTAACCTAAGTGTGCCTTTATATTTTATGCCTTTATTGTATACCTTTGTATTTCGATGTAATTATACCTGATGAAGGAATTATTGTGAAGCAATATATATATATATAATTGGCCAGCGTGGTATAGTACGCCAAAACCTCCTTTCTAAGGGGAGGCCTATGTCCAGCAGTGGACTATTAAAGGCTGTTGATGATGATGAATATATATATATATTTATATTTCTATACATATATTTATATACATATATATATATAATATATATTCACCAGTAATTATCTATACCGTTATAGACAAATACTGAGGAGAATAGTTCTGATAATTCTTTCAGAGGAGGGGCCTATGTTTAGCAGTGGACTATTAAAGGCTGATGATGATGACATTATAAATATGTTCGGAGGACCCCGTCTAATAAGGCTTTCTGACCTCCATGGTCACCATCATTGAATGTTCTCATAATGTGATATTAAAATGTATTATTCATATCACATTATGAGAACAATCCAAGGCCATTTAATAGATTCCAAAATAATTAATCAGTTATGATTGCAGGGTAATTACACTTTCTATGTCTAGTGGCCATAGGGAAGTGTGGGCTGGCCATAATTATTTATAATTTACGTCGAAAACATAAGTTTAGTCACAATAATGAATGGATTTTCTGCCGCCATTCGAATTACCAGCAGTCATGACAGTTATTACCGAATTATTGGCTTTATTAAAGTCACTTGTGTGGGCTCGAATCAATACACAATTTGCACAAAGGCTATCTTAAATAATAATAAAATTATTATTTGTAGCTATTTAACCTTGGAATAGACGTTACTATTATAGACGTTCAATACCTTTCGCTCCATAATTTAATTTGAAATAAATTAAAAAGGATTTAAGAGCGGCCAGCCTCGCCTATTAGCAGTTCGTCCATGTATGGGTTGTATTGTGCGAACTGTGGATGACCTCTTCAGCATAATAATGGGCGAAGGGATGCGCAGGAGCGCGTGCGGCGGAGGGGCGACCGGTTTGAAATTAGAACGTTTTTTATTCAAACCCTATGGCTTTGTCGGTGCCCGCCCGGTGCGCATGCGCTAACTCGACAAATGCGTCAAATGAAATAAGCTGTATTTTATTTCCTTTCGTTTTTGAAAGGGCCTTAAAAGTTTCGATCCTGGGGTTTGTTTGGATAAAAACTTAGTAAAGATTATGGGTTCGCTTTTGTTGTTGGTATGTATAGAAATTTAATATCTGAGGATTTTTGATCGATTAGACACACATTGATTTTCAAAACCAAACCCAAACCCCTTAGTTGCTTTAATATTTTTGTACTATTCAATTTTTTGCTGCTTTGTTATTCTTATTATATTTTAAAGGAAAGGACTAAGCTTCTCAAGGTTAAACTTAAGATTGCCTACGTAAGCACATAAAGTGATATTTTTACTATCCAGACGTTCATTTTTAAACGTTAGTATGTTTAAAAGCAAACGTTTGTATTACATTCCATTCTTATACATATTTTTTAATAAAAACTACTTTATACGTATGTATGTTACCTAATTAAATTACGTATAGTGTATTCTAGTAAACTCTACCAGTTCGAAGTTCGTCCCGACAGCAGAATATTTGAGCCGAAAATTTTAATTCGTTAGCTTCTTATTTCATTGTTTTCTTTTTAGAAAAAGAGGCTCTTTTAACGGGTACTTTTTTAAATTTGATTACTTTAAAAAAAAAATACAACTCCCGCATTAGGAATGTATCCTGTGTCGCAGGGGACTTTACAAACATACATCAAACGGACACATAGAAAACCCAGACTCAGAACAACAATTTGTGGATCACACAAAGTATCGTCAAATGTGGGGATCGGACCCATAACACTCAGCGTAGTAAGAAGAGGCGTGGCGACCGCTTAAACCACTACACCATCCGTGCAGTCAACTTGCTAACGAACACGTTTCGAAAATGATTACCGTTTATGAAGTGTAATTCTTATGCCGTACTAGATAAGGTGAAAATAAAAGCTCAGACTGCCCAAATCTGGAACAGTAAGTAAGGTTGTTTAGCAGATCGTAAAAACTTTCCAAGTGCTAAGTACTCACGCAAGAACAACTTAGAATTGTGTCAATGTTTGTGTAAGTTGCTTACTACTACAAAACCCTGCGACTGTGACTTCTGTGTCATCCAAATCAAGTGATAATGAGTTTTAGCTACATAATAGAGTTACATAAAGTTTGGAACGATTGAGGCGCCAGAATCCCCCCATTTGGGACAGAGTAAATAGAGATGAGGGAGGGAGAAGCGATAGTACGACGCAAGACTCGTAACCGACAGGTCGTGTAGCGGCGTTCGCATCGAGCTCCGACCGCGATGCCGACTTTGTTTGCCGAACTTTTTGAAATTCGAATATGACATTTTGAATGAATGTAGATTACGGTATGCTAGTGAAAAAAATAAACAGTGTACTCTATAGTGAAATTGTAAACATGTAAATTATCGATGGTGTGAAAATAAAGTATAATTTTGTGGCAGTATGGTGGATGTTGGTGTTAATGAGTGCGATACCACCGTAAATGGAAGGAACCAATTTGTGTTTCTTGTATTTGTGCATTTACTTCTCATTGGACTGAATGGAACCAATGGTAACTACTTTTTTTTTGTATTTTTTTAAATTTCAGTATTGAATTTGTGTTATTGTTTTTTTGGTATGCCTTAGTCGTTCTATGTTTAACCAAACTCAAAAAGTATATTTTAAGTTAAAATAATCTGATTCAGTGTTTTATATTTGTAGTTTAGTGTTATGACTAGTAATGCCATTTAAGTTATAAAGAATCTTAGCAGATTAAAGTATTGCACTTTTATTACTCAAGTCATAAATATTAAACACATTAAATTTTATCAACAATTTACTTACAACATATTCTGAGAGGCAGCATAAATTCCTTTATTACTATAAACAGGGTTGTTATAGATCCCAATAAAGCTATGATGCACTTAAAATACCCGACATTTTATTGACCCTAAGTGTTCTACCGTATCCTATTTTTCAATTTACACAACGGGAGCCAAACATTCTTATCTGATCGGTATACCATGCAGTAATTAAAGTACCTACCAAGTCCAATTAATAAAATGTAGTTCCGTGGTACGGTAGCTGATACAAAACAATGTACAACATTTTTTTTCTTTTTAAGGCCACTTTAATTAACGTTTACGGCCAGTTAAGAGAGTAACGAAACGGTTCACTAAAGTTTTGACCTCACAGCTTTACTAGTGGGAACTTTTAGACAGCTCACAATAAAATTAATGAGCATGGAATACCAAATAGATTGTAATTAGTTTAATTATATTTGAGTTACCCATTTAATTATGGGAATTAAATATTCATGAAGTATAAATATTTTTGTAAATCTTTGTAGGGAAGGTAATTAACTTAATTGTATTTATTTAAACGTATTTAATGGGTATTAAAATGTCACTAATAAATTAAAAATCGAACGCATCGGTTAAGATATGTAACTAGTTTTTATTTTCCGTTATGTTCTTATTTTAAACCAGCTGGTGCCCGTGACTTTGTTCGCGTGGGATTTGTAAAGCGCTGCCTTAATTGGTTCGATTCCAGGACCTGGCAAAATGTTATAGCCTAAGTTACTCCTTATATAAACAGGTACCCGGTAGTAAAATATAAACAAAATCGGTGAAAAAATTACCCGTAACAAACAGACAGACAGACAAAAAATACTTAAACTGGTTTTTAGGCATAGGTATCGTATCGTGCAAATAACTGTGAGAGCATGAAAATAACATATTAATTTGACATTATAAACAGATACTTCAATTTTATTTATTTGTATAGAATAGATTATGCACAACATAAAATCTTCTGGTTATTTAATAGCACCTTGACTAATTATAAAGTGAGATTTTCTAAAATTAGAAATGGTCGTTTAACTTAAACTTTCAATTTGAAGATGTAAATTTTTGACTACTGTGTCTAATTTATTATTTTTAGGGAGTGGTCTGTAGGTTCTTTGTCTTTGCACTTTAACTATCTACGAATAGGTTTATACCCCCTTTTCTGTACACAGTTTCTCATTATTTTCTTTATTCATGATTAGTTTTTTTTATACCTTGTTATATTTAGCTATATTTGTTATTATTGAAATTTGGATAACCCGTTATATCAATTTATGTGTGAGTGTAATAAAAAAAAAAGTCCAATTATCAATCATCAACACCCTATAGCAGTCTGCTGCTGGACATAGGCCTCTCCTTAGAAAGAAATCCAATATGAATTAATAAATAATCACGAACAACCTTAAAACTAATATGGCAATTTTATAATATTTTTTCTAAGAGCTACGGATAGGTTTATGTTAAATAGGATAACTAAGTATACTTAGTTCCTCTTTGTTTAGTAAGGGTTTAGGTGCAACAGTGGATATCTCATGTCTGACAAGAGGTTCTGATGTAAATAGTTAACACTAGTACTAAAGTGTTATTGTTTGTTACGCCCAATTTGTTTCGAATATACTGCACCGATTGCGATAAAATTTAGAATGCATATCAATTTGTTGTAGCCAAAACACAGATGTGCAACATACTTTTTAAAATAGATATCAAGTTAGTGTTGTAGTAGCAGTGTTAGGGTTGAGTTACAGAATTAAAAATAAGTGCACCTGTAATAAAAATTGGGCATCTGGGCACTGAAATGTGTACAAACCGAAAATAAAACTTTTTGCTATATAAAAAATCGTTCCTTTACAAGATTTATAAAGATTATTATATTGAGATTGTGGTGACGAATTAAGAATACGGAGTGTCATCCCCCTATTCATTCCGTGGGTGTCCTAGGGGCCAACTAAAGGAGTATTTTGCTCTATTAGTCACAGGACAACAACACATCAAAGAGAAGTAAAAAATGAAGCAAACCCTATACCAACCCGCCTGGCCAGCGTAGTACAAGTATAGTAAGCCAAAATCTCTTTTTTAAAGAGAGGCCTTTGCAGCAATAGACTATTAAAGGTTGTTGCTGTGATAAAGATTATTTGATCTTTGAATAATCTTTGAAACAAAAAGAAAAGGTAGGTTATTACCTACCTTTTCTTTTTGTTGACGCGGTTGAAAATCCATTCGGATCTGCTGCTCCTGGGGCACTCAGAAGCCATGATTATGTAATAATTCTACTAAAAACCACCCCCACGGGCAGCCTCAGGCGCTCTACTTTGGGAGGACCCGGACCATGTGATTTCAAGTCCTACTCAAATCGGCACCACGCCTAATCAGGCCCTGTCCCAGTGGAAAAGATCGGGCCGCCATCCTATCCCCTACCGCAGAAATTAATCTGCGGCCCCGTTGACGGCTGATATCGCCGCCGTATTCCTCTCCCGATCCCGTTCAGCGGTCTCTTTCTGCAGCATTAAATCTTCACAGAAAGAGACAACTGCGCCCCAGCCCTCCCCACCCGCCAGCATGGCAGCAATGATTGCTAGCGGGGTACATAACCTACCTAGGTAGGTACTATAATTCTTTTTAGTACTTTATTGTTTAGTATTTTTTGTAGTTTTCTTGTTCTATTAAAAAATAACTTTGTGTGATGTGTTTATTATGAATAGGTATCTTTTGTACTGTTGAGGACGTAAAAACAAACAAACACACTTGCAGGAATGCCTATGTTATGCACTCATGCAAGCACAACAAGCAATGCACATTTGCAATGCTTATGCACTCATTTCTTATTATAAATTATTGATACTTGAATTGAATTACTTAAATAAATAACTTAAAAATTGAAAGAATGTGTATATTTAGTATACCCCATCTCTACTGTAATATAGTGACTTACCTGCTGACCGACTACTGACTGCACCGGAAGTAGGGTTATATTTTAAGTGCATGTATGTATGTATTTTCTTTTAGCACGCTCTGTAGACTAAACGGCTCCATGGATTTTAGCGTTAGAGCTGTCGTTAGATTTATCATAATTATAAATAAATGTTGTCGCGGGACGTCTGGTAGATGTGAAACAACGATAATATTTTGTTGTCGCTATCGCATGGAGACGAGTCGCCACACCGCATGCATGTTACATAATACGAGTACACTATAACATAGAGTGCATCGTCAAGCCAACAGCCGGTCTGACACCATGTATTTTGTTTTTTTAAACGATATTTCACTTCAAAAATTTAAAACGGTGCAAATTAGTTTCTTAAAGATATTAGTAATAAGTTGACTTGATCCGGTCTTAGTGGCTCCTCCAATCTCAGGATGGATTCTATCTCAGTCCCGATACTTTCTGTATAATTTACCTTAGCTCAGTCGCCTCAGTCTTATTTTGTCTCACATCAAAGTGGCGACAGGTAGGCTGTTATAAAAGAAACCAGGCAAAACATTTTGCTACAAAATTGGGTAAAGACCTGAAAAATGTTGACGATGATTTAAATAATTACAAATATAAACAACTCAACGGAAAACTAATTATAAGTTAGTTGATCATTCTCTAAGGCTTGCTTTTTTAAAATTCCATTCCTTTTAAGGCCTCATCTTTACGACTGTCCCGTTAGAGTCTATTACACCCCAATTGACCCGTAAAAACAGTGTTGTCAACTAAATCTTACCCAACACGTGTCCAACTGATATAAAGGTTGATTGATTCGATAAAACTAGTAGATACTTTGATTTGACTTGACTTTAAAGTATGTTCTACGTCTACGCATTAAAGTGTAAATTAGTCTGACTTTTAAACTTTAAACTTTATCTTTTTGGACATAAAATATGGTGTCCAGTAATAGTATACATAGTAGGTACGAGTGTTTATGATATAATTGTGGACTATTTGTAACATTCAGTGTATATTTAAGTGAAAACCGATGTACACATACAGCTCAAAAAACACAAGTGCGTTGTCTTTTTTGAGCTGCATGTGTACATGAGCGGCGGAGTGCTTGGAGTTTTAAAGATTAGAGGTAACACTCCCAGTTGTTGGACCTTCTTTAACTTTATTCACTTGGTGTAAAAGCAATGAAAGAAATGCTCAGCAGCGTTTTTTTGTGAGGCTGTAATATCACTGCGGTCGAACCCGCCCATTTATGCCAAAGCATGTTTTTCCTACTCAGACAAAATAGGAGTCATGTTCCAAAGAGTGTCATTTAAAAACTAAAAATATATTTGTTAATTCGTTACAAAGTAATAGTATTTCACAAAACCTTGTGTTTTGTTTTTACGTTACAATGTACCGCCAACTTTGTAACACAATATGCAGTGTTTATTATTAGCAGAATCGTGTTCAACGAAAAAAATCTTCTTTTTGGAATATTTTGCTGTATAAAACCCTCAAATAATGTTCGCGTTCATATACTCAATGTGACTTTAAATTGGTATTAATATCCTACTGTGTATCATATACTTCTCTTGAATACTTCTTCAGATCATGAAACTATAATAAAACTACGTTCTAATGTGTAATTTTAATTGCAACTGTTTTAATTTCAACAAAGATAATTCCGATTTGACTAATACTTACCCAGAGATCGGATTTAGCTGATCTTTTATAATAATAATATTTCGGACATCTAACACACAACGCCATCTAGTTTCAAAGTAAAAGCAAATAATCAGATCTAAAGCAAAATGAAAGACA